CAAAGGGCTTTGATGTCGGCACGGGAGCATCCAGACTAGCGCGCTGAGCCGACACACAGCTGATCAGCTGTTTGTCGGCTCAGCGCGGCAGCCATGTAAATTTAAATGAAGCGGCGATTATTTAAATTGCCGCTTCATTTTCCTATGCCTGGTAGCCTAATCTACATGCCTCTGGCGACAGAGGCATGTAGTCTAGATGTACCCTTAATCTCTGCTCTAAACATTTACACTGATTTAGGATCTAGCTTTAGATTTATCATTATGCGTGTGTCGGTGGCATTCTTATTCATCTTGGTTACATATTGAAAAGCCAAACATACTGAAGAGGCTAATATTAACTGACAGGTCAGATGAGTTACTTCATTATTAAGTAAGGAGAGGATAAATGAACCATTCTAAAACGTTTACAAGTTTGACACCTTGAATAGAAGTTTAAACAAAGACCTGACCTGGACAGGCCGCTATTTTCCACATCCTAATGACATAAAATGCTAAGCACTGGGTACTTAGAATATTTATGGCCCATTCCACTAGCCTCATTTAGCATGGACACTCTAAAGGCTATGTCTACAAAGCAGTGTTATTTCAGAGTAACCAACGTTATTCCAAAAAAATATAGTCCATGTCCACAGAGCAAGAAGCTTGCACAGCAAATAAACAAACAGATGACCAGAGTTTTGAGTTTAGGATGTGCAGACCCAAAATAAAAATAGAGGTTTAAATAGAGGGTGAATAGAGGTTTAAACAAAGACCTGACCTGCATAGGCCACTACTTTCCACACCCTAATGACATAAAATGCTAAACACTGGGTACTTAAAATACTTATAGCCCACTCTATTAGCCCTGCTGTGTAGACACGCCCTAATTGACATTTTTTCTCCATTTTTTCCCTTTCTCTTTCCTTCCCCATTCTCTCTCTTTCTCTACTGTTTATTTGCAACCTGGACCCCTTTACTTCATTCACCTGAAGAAGTGGGTTGTGCCCACGAAAGCTCATGATACCGTCTACATTTTTTGTTAGTCTCTAAGGTGCTGCAGAACTATTTACTGTTTTTTGAGTTTTTTAATTCTAAAACAGTTAGAATTTGGCCAGTTTCCATTAGATAGAGCCTTCTCATTAAATAATTCATAAGTATTTAGCTTTCATGGTTCCTGTGTTTGTTCTACAGGTTGTCAATATAGGGTGGGTTGGATTGCACCTTTTCTTCTCCTTGTTGAGGTATAGTCTCTTCATACTAGTTGATGGAGAAGAAGACTCTATTTTGCTATGGAATTTGTTATTGTTATTATTCAGCAATTAAGTTTAATGAAAGAATCACACTTTGCAACTTACTTTTAAATTTGATTATAAATTTTAAAAGCACTTATAAAAATAAGACAAAAATGTTTTTGATTGTGTGCCTTATACTCATAAAAATGTCTTAACATTGATTTTGTTTAAATTTCTTGCTCATGAACAAGCCATAGCCAAGCATAGTGAGGACAAGCAGGAAGTTAATTTTTTCACTTTTATAGATCTGCCATTGTATCTCAGTCTTGAAACCCTTGCCAACCCAGTTATAATTTTCTGTTGATCAGAAATGTAAAGTTGTGAAGGGCCTTAAAGATGAGGACAGGACATTTGAAATAGAAGTGGTGGAAAAAGAGAGATCCAGTGAGGGAATATTCAAAGGGACAATGTGCCAGGATCAAGAGGCAGGAGAGAGTGTCGTGGGTAGACTTGATGGAGCAATGTGGTATCAGAGAGACCAGGAAAAGGAAGATTGCAATAATCAAAATAAGGTACTAGTAGGCCCAGACTTTTAGCTGTGTGGATAGAGGTGAAAAGTTAGAGCCTATACATTTATGGAGGAAGAAGTGACAAGGTTTGGATATTGTTTGGGAATGGACAGTGGAAGAAGTCAAAGATAACATACATGTGATGGGCCTTAGTGTAATTGTATAATGACCAGTTGCTTATCAAATGTCCACTATAGTAAAAGACATATTTAGACAAATGTACTAGTAAACTAATAAAGAGCTCCTCTGTTACTATGTCTCAAAAGATAAGTTTAATTCTGGAAAGCTTCTAGCATAGCCAGTGATTTTTCCTCTGCCTGTTCTTTCCTTTATGAATAGTGAACAACTCTATAAAACCACTAGTAAAAAACCTTAAAGCCGGCATTAAAGTTGTTTTTTCTGATTGGGTGTCTATGTGCAATAATGTGTTATGGCTGTTTTAGTTTATTTTGTTTTGATAATTTAACATATATTTTATGGTGAATAGATTGTAGGCACAATTTCACAAATATTTGTTCTGTCTATTTATTATAGACTTCTGTAGAGAATACCTTAGGCACATCGTGGTGGCAATAATATTAAGAACATAAGAACAGCCATACTGGGTCAGACCGAAAGTCCATCTAGCCCAGTATCCTGTCTGCTGACAGTGGCCAGTGCCAGGTGCCCCAGAGGGGGTGGACCGAAGACAATGATCAAGCAATTTGTTTCCTGCCATCCTCCTCCAGCCTTTGACAGGCAGAGGCCAGGGGCACCATTCCTTACCCCCTGGCTAATAGTCTTCTAAGGACTAACCTCCATGAATTTATCTAGCTCTTTTTTAAACTCTGTTATAGTCCTAGCCTTCACAGCCTCCTCTGGCAAGGAGTTCCACAGGTTGACGGTGTGCTATGTGAAGAAGAACTTTTATTTTATTAGTTTTAAACTTGCTACCCATTCATTTCATTTGGTGTCCTCTAGTTCTTATATTATGGGAACAAGTAAATAACTTTTCTTTATTCAGCCTCTCCACACCACTCATCACTTTATATACCTCTATCATATCCCCCCTCAGTCTCCTCTTTTCTAAACTGAAAAGTCCTAGTCTCTTTAGCCTCTCCTCAGATGGGACCCATTCCAAACCCCTAATCATTTTAGTTGCTCTTATTAAAGATGCTTGACCAGATTTAACTCAGGTGTAAACCATAGAAATTACTACTGTTTATATAAGTACTCAATGGGCCCCATGTATGCTAGCATTACTCGTAAAGGTTAATGTGTTTAGGTCCAGATCTTGTAACTGAATCTGTATGGGTTGACTTCCAAGAGGTTTTATATGGTACCTGGGGTCTGCCTACTCAGATTCATTTGCAAGACAGGAATCTTAGAGATTGATACAGTAGTCCTCATCAGCTGGGAAAAACTCAGTTTACTTCAGGGAGATTTTTGTTTGAGCAGGGAATATGGGTTTCTTAATAATAATATAGTAATAAATCTCAAAGATGTTCTAAGAGAGGCTAAATACCCTGTTTTCAGATGAAGAAATGACTGCAGCTGATCTGCCCATTGTGTCAGCCTCCACTATCCACTTGCTGGATTTTTGAAGAAGCACCTTCATGCTTTTCCTATGTTGCCCTCATGCCTGGGAGTTGCTCTCTGTAAATGTCCACAAAATTAATTAATTATTGTCCTTCAAAGCTCTCGATGAGGCCTAGAAAAAACTTAGGCTGCTAGTGAGCTGAGACCATTGCTTAGAAGACTGACCAGTGTTCTCATTGTTTCCTTATACAGTCCTGTCTGTCTGTAGCCAATTGTTGTTTTTTGTCTTTTACTCAGATCGTAAGCTGTTGGGGCAGGAACAGGACTATCTTTTAGTACCCCACCTAGCACAGTGGGTCCATGATTCCTGACTAGAACTTTAGGTGGTATGATAATACGAATTAGTAATAATAAGGTTACATGTTTTATCTGAGGTCAGATGGCAATTATTTAGCAAAGTGAGGATAAAACCTTACTCTCCTCCATTACTCTGTCCAGTAATGGCTCCCTTAAACATATAAGCAGTTTTGTGAGAACTTTCCATCGCTCATATTTCTGGCCAAAAGTGACTTGTTCTGTTTCTATTAATTTTGGTGGTTATCATGTATGCACATCTAGAAGCGGAATTTAGCATTCAGTAATTGAACAGATATTCCAGAGTGTTCAGTGCCCATAGATCTGTCAGTCGATAGTTTACTATTTATTTATTTTTATCAAATTGAGTGTGCTTCTAGGAATATTAGTGGATGTTTGCTTTAATGCAGGTCTAACTTAAAGCATACTCACACACAAGTTTGTTTCTCAATCTCCTGTTATTTACTTTTAAACTATGCGAACCAGTAGAAATAGGCTGAGTGGGAATTTTATCTTCTGTTTTCTAGTCAGTTTACATTGAGACTCTGTATTAGACTATCATATAAATCCTTGAAGAATTTGGCCCTTTAATTTGTTTTGTTAGGGAACTTTTTTTTTCTTGACAATTAAAATGCTTTCACTTTTAAAAGCTCATGACATACCCAGAAACAAATTATATTTAGAAACAATTTTTCTATTGTCAGATACATTGAATGTGTTTTTCTTTCTTCTTTCTTTATTACTAGAAACATCATTTGCATGAGCACAAAATATTTGTTTCATAGTTAATCTTTTCCTGGTGCTCATTTAAAACTGTAACCGTCTTTGTGCAATCAATGCGTTGCTATGAAGACAATTATTATATTATATACCAACAACCATGACCTTGGAAGAGAGAAATGTCTGAGGATCAACAATTCCATTTTCAGTTAAATATCCTAATATTTGATTTTTAAAAGTGAAGGGGAGAAAAATAATATAAAAGATAAACTGCCTCCAGACAGATTGTGTTTCAGAGTTTTCCAGGAAGTGATAGCATCTTTTTAAGTATCTCACAATGTCTTCTTCACTCTCTGAACTTTTCCTACAAAAAATGAAAAAACAGCAGAAAAATAGAAAAATGTACCCTATTTGTTGCCTAAACTCAAGTGTCTCACATATAGTATTTCTTGTCCTCTAAATATTCGATTGCATCTCTGTGTTGTGTTACAGAATCTTGAAAACAATGTAAAATAGAGAGTCATTGGTTAAAATAATTGACATACATATGTACAGAGAACGTTTGCATGCTATGCTGTAAGCTGTGGTCTATGTGTGTATAGATAACGATTTTTATTTTCCTCCCTAGTTATGTGCTGCCCATCTAACAACCCGATCAGAGGCGCCAAACCACTATCAGGCAGTATGTCGGGCACTATTTGCTGAAACAATGGAGTTGTACACATTCCTGGCCAAAATTAAAAGTGCAAAAGAGGTAAGCATTCAGAGAGAATTCTGCATTACTAATTTGGTTACTAGGTTACTAATTTGGTAGACCAGGGGCCATCTTTCCTCCTCTGAAAACCTGAAAAGGAGTAGTACAGTAAACTTCCAATAATCCGGCACCTTTAGGACCCAGGGGTGCCGGATTATCAGAAGGGGGGGCTATGAGGGGTCTGGAGTGGGGTGGGAGGGGATGCCACCCTAGACCCCTCATAGCCCCCCCTTACGATAGTCAGGCTTTGCCCCAGGAGTCCCTGATTCAGCCGCTGCTGGTCAGTTTCAGCAGCAGCTGAATTGGGGATGCCTGCAATAGAGCAGCTGGGTTGCTGCCGGGTTGGTCCCGCAGCACCGGCGCTACGGCACCAACCCAGCAGCACTCCAGCTGCTCTTGGGGACGCCTGGGACAGAGCAGCTGGGGTACTGCCTGGTTGGTCCCGTAGTGCTGCCCCTCGGGGCTGCGGGACCAACCCGGCAGCACCCCAGCTGCTTTTGGGGACCCCCGGGGCCGAGCAGGT